GGTCAATCCAATCCTTGTGATCATTGGCTTCCTCTGGATCCTTATCCACACGCGGCCTCCTTGAGAGACCATCAATGCCTGCATGTTTTGCGGCGGGTACGTGAACAAGATTAAATTGAAATAAAAGAATACCCGCGATCCATCGATTGATGGTCGCGTTGGGTTGCAGATCGGGATTGTTGATCATACCTTTGATATACTTCATGTCCACTTCGACCGTCAAATTGACAACACCGAATATGTAGACACACACGGCACATAGCGCGCGATATAAGCCGTAGAGTTCGAGTTTCGCTTGTGAGTAGCGGCTCTCTACTTCATTGAGTGCGATTGATCCGAAGTGATTGGGGTAGTGCTTGCTGTCTTCGCCTACTTGCAGCAGGATATATCCGATTGCGACGCACGATGTGTCTACCGCTAGGATGACTTCGCAGCTGCTTTCGTAGTCTATCCGCCGAAGCACGGGAGAATCTAGTACTGAATCCTTGAGCGTTTGCATCACTTGACGCTGCTCTTCACCAAACTCGAAAGGAACATCTTTCTTGGTCAAATTGATTAGCGGGCGCGCGATGCACGAGAAGTTACGAATGAAAATGCGCAAAACGCCGCATGTGCCTAGGAACCCACACACGTGCGACTGGTTCTTCGGCTCAGGCCAATCCCTAATCTTTTGTACCTTAGATTCGTCGGGCACGTGCCCTTCGAAAGTACACTTGTGACCGACGATGGTCGCGGATGGTGTGGCTAATACGAACTTGGTTGCGGATACCGTTGCACCTACGTTTTCTAAGCACTGCAAAATGCGATTGACGACGATGCAGTGTTCCCATATAAAGCGCCGTATGCCTGGATTATCGGGTATGGTCTCGTAAGAGCCATCCTCGTTCTGGTATCGGGTTTTACCGATTTGATCGGCACATCGTCTATGAACGACAACGTGAATTCCGGGATTTTGTGCTGTAATATGAATGCGGTGTTGCTTTGGTAAACCTGTACAGCGTTAGCGTGTCCTTGCAGAAGCGTCGTTAAATGATGCGGCCCTAGGGGTGTTCCAAACATAGTCATATCGCACGAATCCACATGAAGCGCGTGCTGGTCATAACTGGCGTACAAATCCAACATAGCATACACTGCGTATCCAGCGAACATTTCTGCTAAAAAGTCGGGAAAGGGCGGAACTGACGCATCGCAAATAGTGACTTCGTTGAGCGGTTGTAGGTCATGGACTAAGCGCAAGGAATGGCCGTCCTTCTTGATGACACAGAACCAGCATGAACAATAGGCGGCTGTCGACGGCTCATATACACTGTATGAAATCTTTTCCTTGATAATGCAAACAACTTTGCCAGTGATTGCGGGTGGGATCGGAATATTGCGCTGCAACCATGGGGTGTGTGGTACTGTCGGGATCTTGTATGGCGGAAAATATGTTTCATTGAGGCGGCCCCATTCTGAGGCACCCCAAGCAAATGCGAGTTCATGAACCCTAACGAGCCAGTGTACTAGCTTGAGCTCTTCAGGCCATAGCCAATTGGCTGGATCTAAATCTAACTTTTCAGCGCATGAAGCGGGTTCCTGGTTCAAATTCTGGGGGGTGAGTCGGTAAGTCTGGTAACCCAGCGAGCGGGTCTTCGGGTAGCTGGCGCACTATCCTATACTCTGGCGGCATAGTGGTAGGCACTGTGCGCACTGTCTTCGCGACTGGTTTATACACCAGCGCGTTGTAGCACTCGGATCGGTGTTGGGCTCGTATCCTGCCAATTCCATAGGTATCCCACACACGTATTCCTCGACACTCCATTTACCTTCCGAGAGTTCCGCGCACTCATCCGAGTCATCCGAAGGTCGTCCGTCCATTTCCGAGGCCTGTATACAGTTCCGATCCTCTGTACCATGTCCCGTCCATGTCCGTTTGACTTCGCTGGTGCGTTTTCCACTTGGTTATCTGTTAATGATTATGTTTAGGGGCACATATGTTGTTGGCCCATCGGTTATACGCATATCAAACACACCTTGTGCCTTATTACATGCATATCTCTGTAGCGGCTTGCCTTGAGTCTTATTTACATTTCGGATGTCTTATCTCGCTACTGGTTTCGCCTACACAGTTTCCGGACTTTCACACTGTAGGATATAATCTGCCTCACTAGCTACTCGCACTTCACTTCACTTTCCCTGCTACGAGTCATAGTCAGTAGAGTCACTTTCAGATAGTCATACTTCGCGCAATCAATCTTTTGTTCATTTGGAACGATTGTTTTGGCCTGACCGCTGCCATTTCGCTACTCACTGTCTCTAAGTTCTTTCCGATAGACTTTGCTTAGTTTTACTTCGCGAGTCTTATACTTCGATACACCTGCCGTACTCCTCTCGGAACACTCGCTGTTCATCAGAAGCTCTTCAGACGCTTCGCGCAACCTCGGACCTTCGTTTCTTGACGTCGGACCATCTTCAGACCACTTTCGGACCACTTTGGACGCATCCTCGGAACATTGAGTGTGCTCTTGGTAACTTTCCTTTCACATATTACAGTGACCTATCTCCATATAATACGAGGGAACGGACATGCATAATATCCCATATGATACGGGCCAGCGGACCATGGGCCCATGATAAAAATATCCTCGACTATGACGGATGGGCCGGGAGGCAAATTATTCCCAATGGAGGCGGGTGGGCCCATGCAGGGAATATATAGAGTAGATGAGTGGGCCGATGTACATGAATATTAGGTAGACGGGTGGGCCAAGGTAGTTGGATATGATGCAGATGGGTGTATTAAGGTAGATGTGTATGAGATAGATGGGTAGGTACTTGTTATCGCATTCACGGGTGGGCCCAGACACATATTAAATTAGACGGGTGGGCCGAGGGTATTATAAAATATTGTATTAGACGGGTGGGCCCAGACACATATTAATTAGACGGGTGGGCTGAGGGTGTTGTATGGGATGTTGTATTAGACGGGTGGGCCGAGGGTGGTATAAAATATAGATGGGTGGGCCCATGTGTATCATAATTGTAGACATGATGGAGCTGAGGTAGTTGTACATCAACCAAATCAGAGGAGGTAATAAATCAAAGTTACCAAGTTCCCGGAGCAGCAGGTGATCTCCTGACATGGCCTTTGATGGTGCACAGGTTGTCTTGCAAAATTTGGAATCCGGGGTGCGAAGCTTGTGTTGCCCTATGAGATGCCAAGTTCCAACCACCCAAATTTGGGTCAACCATACCGACTTCCGAGTTCCGGGACCCGGGAGTTGACAAATGAATATCTGATAACCAGCACACTTCCAATCAGGTAGTATTTCATTGAGCAATGGATCATCCAAGGGGTCCCTTATCGGACTCGGTAGTCAATATAGGCAAATGATAATGAAAACATGAAAGTTGTTATTATGCTATTTTTCAAACCCGAGACCCTGAAACCCATTGTTCAACATGTCCATTTTTCACTCACTGCACAAATCACCGAGTTTCAAGTGCCGAAACCCGAAACTCGAAACCCGGTGTGCAACACGTCGATTGTTCATTTACATTACACAGATCATTGAGTTCCGAGTGCTGAGTGCTGAAACCCGAAGCCCAAAACCCGAAAATATGTATGGAACATGTCCATTTCTTACTCATTGCACATATCACTGAGTTTCGAGTGCTGAAACCCGAAACTCGAAACCCAGTGTGCATCATGTCCATTGTTCAATTATATTACACAAGTCATCGAGTTCCGAGTTCCGAGAGCCAAAATACGAACCCTGAACCCCGAAAATATGTGCGCAACATGTCCATTTTTCACTCACTGCACAAATCACCGAGTTTCGAGTGCCAAAGCATGAAACTTGAAACCCAGTGTGCAACATGTTGATTTTTCATTTATATCACACAAATAACCAAGTGCCAAGTGCCAAGTGCCAAAACCCGAAGCCCAAGACCCGAAAATATGTATGCAACATTTCCATTTTTCACTTGTTGCACAAATCACCGAGTTTCAAGTGCCGAAACCTGAAACTCAAAACCGGGTGTGCAACATGTCCATTGTTCAATTATATTACACAAGTCATCGAGTTCCGAGTTCCGAGGGCCAAACCCCAAACCCCGAAAATATGTGCACAACATGTCCATTTTTCACTCATTGCACAAATCACCGAGTTTTGAGTGCCGAAACCCGAAACTCAAAACCCGGCATGCAACATGTTGATTTTTCATTTACATTACACAGATCATCGACTTCCGAGTGCCAAGGGCCGAGACCCGAACCCCGAAAATATGTGCGCAACATGTCCATTTTTCACCCATTGCACAAATTACCGAGTTTTGAGTGCCAAAACCTGAAACTCGAAACCCGGCATGCAACATGTCCATTTTTCATTTATATTACACAAATCATCGAGTTCCGAGTGCCAGGGGCCGAGACCCGAAGCCCGAGACTCGAAAATATGTATGCAACATTTCCATTTTTCACTTGTTGCACAAATCACCGAGTTTCAAGTGCCGAAACCTGAAACTCAAAACCGGGTATGCAACATGTCCATTGTTCAATTATATTACACAAGTCATCAAGTTCCGAGTTCCGAGGGCCGAAACCCGAACCCTGAACCCCATATTGGTGAATGTCAGAGATCTGGCCAGTCTGGGGCCAGTCTGGGGCCAAAGTCTGGGGCAGAGTCTGGGGCCAGAGTCTGGGGCGCTCGGCAAATGCGGCTGACCCGGGCTGAGTTTGAATTGTATTTGGTCACGTGCTTGCTTTGTGACAATTCCAAAGCTGCCCGCCATTGTGCCTGCTGTCAGCAGTAGTGTGCCCGTCGTAGATGGCTGCCGACACACCCGCCAGTCAACCCACCACATGCAGTTGGCATGCTATGTTCGTGCTCCGATCAAAATGGACCATATCATGGTCGCTCATCGCCCATCCTGCCTCATCTCTCCCGCCCATCTTTCCTCCTCGCCCAACTTGTTTCTTACCTGCCATCGCCTACATACTCTTGATAGTGCTTATCACAATGTCTTCCTTGCAACAGGCGGATGTCGCATTCCTGGCCAGATTGGCTCTGCGTGAATCTGCAGTTGGCCTTGTCACCGATTGCATGAATTGTGGGGGTACAGTTCCAATCACCATATGTCGGAGCGATGCGAATGGGAACTCGGGGAAGCCGATGGCAAGGGTGTGTTATCCGCATAAGTTATTGACCCTTTTATTAACCCTTCTTGCCAGCATCAATCATGTTCCTTCTTCCGCTGGTTCCCTCAAATTCTATCGCATCCAGACATCATGGCCCTCCTCCCATCATCAAGTCGTTCCCCAAGTCTCATCAGTTTTCAGCCGGCACCTTCTACCTTCATGAGCGGCACTAGTGCTGCTTCCGCAACTCAATTCCCTTCAATGCAACCTCTTGCCTCAACTGGCAATGGCAAGAAGCCACGCAAGCGAGGCATCAAATGCAACGGTGCCTTTTGCCAATGAGCGAGCACGCTGCGTTGCCCGCATGTGAAGTGCCTCACCCATTGTATCGAGGAGGCGGGAGGATGTCCAGTGCACCTCACTGAGACAGATAACCAGCAGCAGCACCCTATCGCGCAGCAGGAGTGGAATTGGGACTATGATCAGGAGGATACTCTTATGCTCCCTGCTGAGGATACTCTCGCGCTCCCTGCTGAGCCCTACTGGCATGAGGATGGAGTTCAGACGAACGACGGGCTGAGAGCACTTCAACATGCACTCCAGTCTGTTGGCGCTGGACGGCCTGCTGTGTTCCCATCATTTCATGATATTTTGATAGCTCCTGCACCATCGCAACCACCCGCGTCAACAACACAACCGCCCGCGCCATCGCAACCACCCACACTATTGCAACCACCCGCGCCATCCCAGCAGTCTCATCTGCCCCCTCTGTCACAAATCACCCGGCTGCCAATGCGCTCTCAGCATGGTGATGCCTTAGCTCCACATGCCTTCCCAGTTCATAAGCTGTCAAAGCCTCCGCATGTAACCGATCAACTTGACCCAATGTGGACAGGTGACCTCAATGCGCGTGCGCGAGAGGAAATTGAGAGCAAGAGGGTGTCAGAACGTCGCAAGGAGATGGAACGAGCTTCCAGGCAGCGCTTTGTCTTGTACTGGTTTGATGCTGTGAGTTACTTCTTGGTTTCCCTTTCGCCACAATACTTACTGCTGATGTGTAGGACAACACGCCAGTGTTGATGCAGTGGGCTGTTCACTGCCCGTACTTCCCACAATATCAGCTCTCAGATGATCCCGCCCTTGTCAACTCCCTTGGCAGCAATATTTCAAAAATCGACGTCTTTGAGGAAAGCTTCATGCGTTGGATTCCGTCAACGCTCGCTCACCCCTTCACTCTTGACTCGGGTTGCCACGTCTTCATACGACGTCATGGTGTCACTGAGTGCAGCGGCTTCGATGAGTTATTTAAGTCTTCCAAACTGTTGACTCGCCCTTCTCACATGCGCTTCAATATGAAGGGTGAGCGTGATAGCATACGCAAGAAGATGAAGCAACGACAGGCATCCACCCCGGCTTCATCATCGGATGTCGAGATTCTCGATGACGACATGCAACTTACACCTGAGCTCAAGAAGACAAAGCGACGACAGACATCCATCGCCGCTTCATCATCGGACGTCGAGATTCTGGACAACGAGGCGCAACTTACACCCAAGGTGTCCTTGGGAAAGCGCCACTGGGCTCAAAGCCCTGGCCAAGAACAAGAGATGCACATTACTACACAAGTGCGACTGGCACGAGATACCCACTCGATGTTACGACTGGGGTATGTCGAGCTGTCTTAGTCCGAGTGGACTGAGATTCGGCGAGACAGACGTGGTTCTTCTCTCGAATGAGAGGTTCAAAGGTTTCTGGCTAAGGCAAGTATCGGCAACTTCCTTAGAATGGTGGTTCTTAGATAGCAAGGTTGGAGACCTTGCTAAAGGACTTGTTCCAGGTAAAACCTAGTAGATTAAAGTGAAGAACTACATGTGGTACGCTATGTATCTATATAGCGAGAGTTCAAGCGGAGCTTGTAAATGCGTATCAAGATAGAAGGCGGACAGCCCGCTTGGTAAGTGATAAGAGATAAGAGATAAGAGATAAGAGATAGTAACCATGGTGCGGACAGCCCGCTTCGATAAGAGATGACTAGACATAGTGATGGTTACTGGTACGGAAGGTTAGCTTGGCGATGATATGAGTAAGGTTCTGAAAGGTGATTGGTCGCTCATTAAGAGCCGTATCCATGTACCATTGTCCGGTGTAGAGACTCATGCCTCTCATTGTGCAATATGGCAGTTTTCACTGGGGAGTACATGGCACGAACTTGTAGCATCACTCTGTGTGCTACCTGCAGCTATCTCTATATGAGGCGCAGCTTTCCCGCGCAATGCGCGCCATGCGCGCGTACCTTTCCCGCGCTTCACGATGTATATGCGCGCGCGCTTTCCCGCGCTTGAGCGCCCTATAGCGCCAGCCATCCGGAAGCATCCATCCACTGTCCACCAAGTTCCCTAGTGCGTATATTTCCATTTCTCACATTTGCTTATCGTTCCATCTTTATTTTTATCATGGACCCTTACTTACATATATCTTTACATACCTTACTTGGTAGCGCTTCGACTCCGCATGACAGCGCTTAGGCGCCATACTTAAGCGCCAGCAGTACATACTAAAACTTACTCACCCACCGGGACTGACTTACTCTCCCACCAGAACGACAGAGGACTTACTGGTTACTACCCACTATTTACCTAGCAGAACATAGTAGAAATCTATTTGTTTACACCTCGCATCTCCCTTCTCTTGTCTTACATCATATCATCACCTAAGCAAACTCACTCTTACTCTCTCTTGATTCCGCATACACGCGCGCGCATTCTCGCGCCATACACGCGCGCATTCCCGCGCCTTGCGCGCACCTGCGCTTTCTCGCGCTTCGCATTGGCCAACCAGTAGCGCTTTCAGCGCATACCTCTAGATCCTTGCTGCACTCGCTTCCCCTTTAGGGTCGAACGCACTTGTCGTCTCAAGTATAGCAGACTAGGCAACGCGCGACCTTACAACATTATAGATACAGTCAGGAGCATTGTTCGTGCCTCGCTGTATTGTTGAACCTTCACCGGTAACGAAGGAGAAACGAAGAGAATGAATATACCGTAACATTACCCCCGTGTTATGGTCGATGGCACCGGCATCGACATCACTAGTTGTCCTGGTTTGCATAGTAGATGGCGTTGGCGTCGGCATTGTGGAATTCCAATTCTTCTGGCTGTGCCAAGTACTCCCTATCGGCACATGCAAGGTCCTCTTCTTCCTTCTTATCTTTCTCCACTTCCCACGCGGCTAACGCGTCATAGAAGCCTTCGTCGGTATAAACCAACGGGAATGCGATTTTGTGAGTGGTGAAGGGGCAGTAGATGGAGAAGTGCCCAGGTTTTGTGTCGCCACAGACGCGGCAATAGTAAAGGGGGCAATTCTTGTGCTTGTGACCAAGCTTCTTACAGAGTCGGCAGATGAAGTTGGCGTCGGCGATAGTGCCGACGATCTGTTTTAATGAGGGGGATCTGATAGTGATGCTGGAGGAAGGGATAGCGGGGGGTTCTATGGTGAGGTCGATGACCTCGCGCTTCTTTCCTTTGGATGACTTTTTCTTGGTTACGCCGTGAACGACGGCGCTGCCACGGAGGTTTCTTCTATAGACCTCGTTGGGCGCTGGGATAGGTATCGGTGCAATGTTCCCTCCAATCGAAGTTGGATCAGGTAGAACAGCGGGGGGATTGTGAGTAATAGGAGGCAACGGGCGGCCGACTTGGAAGGAGTTTCGATCCGCAACAGTCTGTATAATTTCCCTACAGATAGTGCTAAAACCAAGAGGGAATAACTGAAGCGTAAGCGAGCGTATGCGCCGCTGGACGTGGTTGCAGGAGAGTCGGAGGGCGTCGTTTTTGATCTGGGCAAATTCTTCTTCGAGACGTTGGGTGGCTCTGATGATATGGATATAGGTGGCAGCGACTCCAGCTGGTACTGCTGGTTGGTTGTTGAGATAGGTTTCGATTTCGAGGGCGTGGGCAATGGAAAGGATGGTGGTTTCGACAATGACGTCGTCTTCAATGCTGACAACGTTGTCGGCAAAAGGGGATTCATAGAGGCTGATGGAGGAGACATTGGATTCAGTAGGAGAGGTGGTTTGTTGAGAAGACATGTTTTTGTTTTGTATGGCGGTGGGGACTGGTCGATTCAGTTTAACTTGTGCCTCTTCTTATAGGCGGAAAGCAGGTCTTCGGCGTTTTCCATATTCTCCGCTGGAATCCATTCGTTGCTTCCGGAAGAGTATCCTTTCCAGGACACGAGATAGCGTCTTCGTTTACCCGTGCCCTTATGACTCAGGACAGCTTCGACTTCGTATTCCTCCGATTGGTTGACTATATCTGGAGGTGGTTCTTCATAGTTCGGTCCGTGAATCTCTGTCTCCTGATAGGAGGATAGCTCAGAAGCATGGAACGTGGGGTGAACCTTCCATTGTTCAGGAAGTTTCAGGGTGAACGTGATGGGCGAAAGGACTGCGGTTATGGAGAACGGACCGTGCCGTTTGGGCGCAAGCTTCCTGGACGGGAGGGTGGTCATGAGATTAGTTGCAGATAGCCAGACCTTATCTCCTATCTTCCACGGTTGGTACTTCTTCCCGTGCGTCCTTTCTGCCATTCGTTGCATGGCGATATTGTGGCAAGAGATGGCTTCTTCTCTGATCTTTTGGAGGGTGCGAACCCTTTCTTCTACGGCAGGGGTATCCGATGATGGTAGTACGTGGGGAATACCGCGAGGTTCGTATCCCATCATGAGGAAGAACGGCGATGCGTTCCTTGCTTCATGTCTTCGGTGGTTATGCACGAATTCGGCGAGAGGTAAATGGTCCGACCATTCATGGGGGTTACTTCTACAGTATATTCGGAGGTACGTTTCTATCTCTTGGTTGAGTCGTTCAGTTTGTCCGTCGGTCTGAGGGTGATACGCCGTGGAGGCAGCGATCTGGTATCCTAAGAGGCGTGCTAGTTCTCTAGAAAACTTTGAAATGAACTGGGGGCCTCGGTCAGAGATCACCTTCTCGTGAAGTCCAAAACGTTTGAATACGTTTTTGAAGAATAGTTTAGCTACTCCTTCAGAAGAGATGTTCTTGTTACAGGGAGAAATAGTCACCCCCTTCGTAAGGCCATGGTCTACCACGACCATGAGAGAGTCAAAACCGTTGGAAACGGGGAGGTCGGTGACGAGGTCAACAGAGACCTGGGAAAAGGGGCGAGTGGCAGAGGAGGGGATGGGGACAAGGGGCGGTGAGACAGGGTGAGTGTCGGTTTTCATTTGCTGACACAGAGCACATCCAGCGACATAGGAGCGAATAAAGGTGCCCATTGCAGGCCACCAGTAGTCACGTTTGACGAGTTCCTCAGTTTTAAACCGCCCGGGGTGACCGGCGGTGGGATGGTCATGGTGACGGAGCAGTACGGCCATCCGTTGTGAGGGCGGTACATAGGCACGAGACTTATAATAAAGTACTCCGTCCAATATATTCCAGTCGGAGAGGGCCGACTTCATAGGAGGCAGGCAGAGTCCATCCAAAGCGTCACTGGCAGTGGAGAAAATGGGGTCATCCAAGGAGTTCTTGGTGAGGGCGGCGGAGAGTTCGTCGTCGATCAACTGTATAAACATGGAGTCTGGAAGGAGTACACGATCTTCGTTGTCGTGTTCACCAAGACCATGATCAGGGCGTCAAGAAAGTGCGTCAGGTGCAGCAAGTTTCGTTCCAGCAATGTGATGCAATTCGAGATCATAATTGGAGAGAACAAGCTGCCAACGTGCTTGTCTCCGAGAGAGTTTCTGTGCTTTAGAAAAGTAAAGGAGGTTCAGGTGGTCGGTGAATACGAGAACGGGGTGGGGATTTCCTTCCAGATAATGACGCCATTCATTGAGAGCGCGAATTATAGCGAGTAGCTCTCAATCGAAGATTTCATAATTGCGTTCAGCAGGGTTGAAGGACTGGGAAATATATTCACAAGGGTGGTAGACGCCGTTTTCGTCCGTCTGGAGGAGCACGGCCCCTGTTGCTACAAGGGAGGCATCAGTAGCAAGGGCGAATTGGCGTGTAGGATCCGGGTTCCTTAACACTGGTTTCGTCGTAAAACATTGCTTGAGTTTAACGAACGAAGTCTGAGCGTCAGGTGTCCAGGCGAAGACTTGATCTTTTTGAGTGAGGTTGATAAGTGGCCGGGCGATATCAGAGTAGTGGGATACAAACACCCTGTAAAAGTTGCAAAATCCGAGAAAAGAGCGGACATCTCTTACGGATGTCGGGGTAGGCCAGTCTTTTATCCCGTCAACTTTGGCGTGTTCCATGGCAACTTCTCCAGGTCGAATAATCATCCTGAGGTATTCCACTTCTGCTGCGTCAAAAGTGCATTTTTCCGGCTTGACGAATAGTTGTTCGCGACGGAGTATCTCCAATACTCTTTTCGTCCGTTCGCGATGTTCCGCGAGGTCGGAAGAGAAGATGAGCAGATCATCCATATATATGACGATCCATCCTTCATTGATTTCGTTCTGGAAACGATTGTTCATGTAGGATTGGAAAGTGGCGGGAGAGTTGGTTAAGCCAAAGAACATGACAGTGGGTTCGAACAGGCCTTCTTCTGTAGTAAAAGCCGCTTTCCATCTGTCGTCAGGATGGATCCTAATATTATTATAGCCGGACCGTATGTCGATCTTTGTGAAATGCTTGGCCTTGTAGAGTCGTTCTATAAGGGTTTTGGGGAGCGGGAGTGGGTATTGGTTGCGTATGGTCCAATCATTGAGGTACCGATAATCCTGACAAGGGCGTAACTCTCCGCTTTTCTTTCCTACAAAGAAGAATCCACTAGCTTGCGGGGATTTCAAGGGTATAATAAATCCTTTTTCTGTGTTTTCCGTGATAAAGGTCTTTACCGCTTCTCTTTCTTTTCCTGATAGTGGGTAGATCTTGGATGTCCTTGGCATGAATCCAGGCTTCAGATCGATTCGATGATCAATACCAGGCCGTTCCGGTGGTAACTTATTGAGACTGTCTTTTGCAAAAATATCAGCATAGGTGTGCAGGTAAGGGGGAACGAGTTCCTCGAAACTCTTTCTCATTTTTTCTTTCTCTCCGGCGACAGCGAATTCCTGAGCTTTGTTGCTAGTTTTCGAATATCCTTGCTCGTGCTTCGACGTGCCATCTTTGGTGAGGGGAGTGTCAAAAGAGACGTCGGAGATTATTCTGACTTGAGAACCGTCAGGGGAATATTCGATTAAGACGTCTTCATCGTTCAAGGGATAGAGGGAGGGGTCGACCACCGGAGGTGCATAGTTTTCCGACCATACATCTTCCTTGGTGTCGTAATCTGGCTCATCTTGGTCCGGTACAAGGTGGGGGAGTTCTTCGTCGGTGACTTCTTCAATAGAGGCCCGTGGATAGACGGGTGAAATGGGGGATTTCTTTAATTTAGAATTCTTCCATTCACGAGAAGGTTCTTTCTCTGCAGGGGTGGAGAGGGGGAACAGCAACGGTAGATTGCGTCGCTTTCTGAGATAGTCGATATTCCTTTCGATCTCGAGCGATCGCTCATTCAGTGTGAGAGTCAGTTCTTTGTTAGTCCAGTCGATTGACGGGTTTAGTGCTTTCAACCATGGGAACCCAAGTAAAATCTTGTCCTTCTTCGAGAGTTTGGTTATGTTGAACTTTCCTATCATGGTTCTCCCGTCAATTTTGACAATGAGAACGCAGTAGCGAGAGATGAGTCCTCCTCTGGCGTCTGATCCGTCTGCGGTTATAACGGGGAACGGTTTCGAGAGTTTGTGGGTTTTGATTCCGTGCAACTTGCAGAATTCCTCACTGATGAAGGTTCCGCTTGCTCCGGAGTCGATAACCATAGAGGTTTCGATGGTTTTGTTACGCTTGGTGGAAATAATAGTGGCTGGGACGCGAAGCTCCTTTTTATTTCCAAGTGATTGTACAAGTCGTATTGGGACAGGGGGTACTGACATCGACGCAGTCTCCCTTCTTAAAAATCCATCTCCACGAACCGTCGGTTTACCTCTTCGTCGTCATCACTGCTCTCCTCCTTTTCCACCTTTCTTCGGATGGGCATTTTCTGTTTCTTATCTTCCCTTGGGTGGAATGTAGTATCGTTGGCACGATGACCAGTCTGGTGGCATTTGAAGCAGCGTCCTTCTTTGAGGTGTCTCTTTACTTCGGATTCAGAGAGCTGATCTATCTCCATGGCGTCGCTTCTGCGGGGGGTGAAGTGGCGATCCCCGTACTTCTTCTTCTTATGCTGGTAGTGCGTGGGATTTTCTCGTTTCTGTATGGCTCTCAACCTCTGGAAAGCATTATCCAGGTTGATGCATGTCGCGATGATGGTTTCAAAGTCGTCTAGACTTTCTCCCATGTGGTAGAGGTTGTTGCGAAGTCCTACATCAAGACCTTCGCGGAAGAACTCTACTTTGGTGACGTTCTCGGTTATTCCCGCTTTATGGGCCAGGAGGCGGTAGTTGGAGATATAGGTGTGGAGGTCTCCTTTCATTTCAAGGGCTCGTACTTTAGCCATGGCCGTTCCGGCGGGGTCTATAGCTCCAAAGGCTTCTTTGAATGCGACTTTGAACTCATCCCAGGTGCCGTACCCAATAAGATTTCCTGCGGTATTCTTCAGTCTGGCGTTCTGGGCGGTCTCCATGAAGTCTTCTTTCCAAGCGGCTGCATTGCCCTTGGTCATAAACGAGAGCGCGAAGATTACTTTCTTCTTGTCGCTGTCGTAGATCTTATCGTTGATATCTAAATACGCATTACAGTTCAGCATGAACCGGTGCAATTCATCGCGGTCTCCATCGAATTTGGGGGGAGAACCGATCTTGATTTCAAATTCTTTGGTAGTGGTTGCCATCGTATTCAACGGTGGTATCGGCGGTAGCGCGCCTAGGTTTAAAGCTCCGATCAAGGGAGTTAACGAAGTCGTGGTGTCTTGCTGACGTCGCAGGTGGCGGCGTCTATGGTAGGACTTTAATCTTTTGTTACGACTGGGGTATGTCGAGCTGTCTTAGTCCGAGTGGACTGAGATTCGGCGAGACAGACGTGGTTCTTCTCTCGAATGAGAGGTTCAAAGGTTTCTGGCTAAGGCAAGTATCGGCAACTTCCTTAGAATGGTGGTTCTTAGATAGCAAGGTTGGAGACCTTGCTAAAGGACTTGTTCCAGGTAAAACCCAGTAGATTAAAGTGAAGAACTACATGTGGTACGCTATGTATCTATATAGCGAGAGTTCAAGCGGAGCTTGTAAATGCGTATCAAGATAGAAGGCGGACAGCCCGCTTGGTAAGTGATAAGAGATAAGAGATAGTAACCATGGTGCGGACAGCCCGCTTCGATAAGAGATGACTAGACATAGTGATGGTTACTGGTACGGAAGGTTAGCTTGGCGATGATATGAGTAAGGTTCTGAAAGGTGATTGGTCGCTCATTAAGAGCCGTATCCATGTACCATTGTCCGGTAACGAAGGAGAAACGAAGAGAATGAATATACCGTAACACTCGATGTCGCCAACACCATCACTATTCCCCAGTCAACCACCAGAGGATGACTTCAATTCCCGTCGCGCTACTTCAATGTCACCAATGCCACTGCTCGTGACATCAACATTCTTCTCATCCATTGAGTCTGTGCCTTCAACGTCTGCATCAGTTGCAGTCAATGACATTCGGCAACCAGCGCCACCTTTGGAAACTCACCAGTCAGCTCAGGCTTCTCCGTCCATCATTCCTGTGCATGTCCCAATATACGATCGTGGCAAGCCACGACGAGTCTGGCCACAGGGAATGTACACAGTTGATATGGTTGTCGGCTTTCAGCAGATGGACATCCCAAAGTTCCGTAACTATGGTCAGGAGCAGCTTTTTCGTCTCATCTTTGGTGACACTCCGTTTGTTAAGGCCACATATCATGAAAATTGCAAGGCGTGGCGCGAGACGCCACTGACCATCCTCGAGGCACACAAGCAAAGCGGGCGCACTCAAGATGGCCTTTGGTCGAACTGTCTTGCTGCGCGCCGCATTGCCTTGGGTCTGGAGAGCAAGAAACATAGCCGGCGGAAGTAGTGTCAAAGTATTGTCCCTCGGTTTGTTCTATACTTGTTTTATGTAGCACCTACGTTTGTTCTATATACACTTGTTTTATGTAGCGCCTACTATCCATTGCTTTGTCCGAACCCCACTGGCCGTCACACACTCAGATTCCTCGCAGTTCAGGCAGTTTAAGAATTTCTTCAAGGGCGTTTCTGTCACGCTCGTCCACCGGCCTGCTCGAAGATGATGTTGGATAGCAGGAGGGATATAAAGAACTCTTGAAGGAGGATCGAGGTCTTCGAGCGCCTTCAAAACCACACCAATCCAAAGTTGTTTATGAAACAACAACTTTGGATCAGTGTGGTGAAGAACCCTTGAAGGAGGATCAAGGTCTTCGAGCGCCTTCAAAACCACACCAATCCAAAATTGTTTCGTAAACAATTTTGGATCGGTGTGGTTTTGAAGTGAGTTCGAGAACACGACGGTCAAGGTAGGTATTCATATGAATCACATTCATAACAGCTTCTCTCAGCGCGAGTGCAGGACTACTTCAAGAAAGCTTGGGGCTGCCCACTAAACTATCCAAACATCATCTTCGATCGAGCACCTTCGACAAAAATCATAGGGCAGCAACACTGGGAAGTTGCTTCATTCAGACATTTTCTCGATGATAATCATCTCTAATATGATGTGTGATGCCTGTTTTTGCTTAGAGATTAATCCCTACAGCGCACTTTTAGTTTTACTTGGGCAAAAACCATGGGTTACTGCTAGTACTGATTCATTTTTAACTCGCACTGAGAGAAGCTGCGCTGTATTTTCGACGGCACCATTATTATGTACTAACAAAAATATCATACATTGGGAGGTCATTAAACATGTGGATGGTGAGGAAGTTTGCCTTGTGTGTGAAGGGTAGCAACAGTCATACAGTTTCGACGGAGGATCATTTCGTCAAGAAAAAAATCATACTTCACTGGTGTCATCTCTCGACAGATGTTGTGAAAACTGCCAAACCAAACATTTGTTTGCTCCGCAATCGATGAGTTGAAATAGTACCCCCCGTCGTCGTTGAGGAGTTCAGGGTAGGCCTTCATGTCACAGCGCTCGCGGCAGAACAGATCACTGGCCTTGTGCTTTGTCTTGTGATGGAAGGCATCTACACACATTCCCATTCCCTCGAAGAACGCAATCTTACGACTCTCAACCTCCCGCAACGTGTTGCAATTGGAGTCATAGATCAAGTGCTGCGGCTTACGTGCACGTGGGAGGGAGAACATTTTCTCGACCATAATCTTAAGAACATAAGTTAGCATAGTCCTTCCGACAGAAAACCAAACTTACCAGCACATTCAAGACAGCCTCATGGTGGTACATTGTACCACGACCAGAGATGATACCACAGGGACGAACGATGAGTTGTTCGTTGTTCGTACGCTGACGCCGGAATGTAGCCTTGATCTTGGATGGGATATCCTTGGCACTGCACCCATCGACATCCGAGACTCCAGTTGATGTGGTTGTTGGCGCCTGACGGAAGCGCACAGCACCAGACACATTATCGTGCTCATACCATTCTTCGACATCTTGAAGGGGGACGTCTTCTTCTGTGTGAGTCATGATCGGGGGAGAAACGTTATGCGTAGCAATTGAATCATTCAACTTCGCAAGTCTCTGGCGTTGTGTTCTGCTCTTGCCACTATGCGAGGATTCAACATTGGCAGCCTCCATTCGAAGATGAACCGGATCATCGCAAGATTTGTGCATCTTCCCATCAGCACCAACCGGCATCACTGGCTCACTACAGCCGTCCACAGCACAGACCGACTCGAGGTGGCGATGTTCTGCTGCACAGAAACGATGACGATTGCTCTTGAGAGCATTTTTGCACCGTGCGACAGCGCAACATGGCCGTCCGACTGTCACACCGTCAGTCACGATGACTTCCGTATGGCGAAGCATTCCATCTGGCATCTCCAATATCCGCATGCATCTGAAACAAGTATGAGGGAGCTCCTCCTGACCCTGGAGGACAATACAAGCGTTGCGTGCATACATGGCCTGCATAAGGCAACTTTTCTGGTTGCCGTCATGCGGCACTACCAGGCGTTCTCCTCGTAGTTGATGGTCGTCGAGTAGGGCAAGTATTACAAAGCAGTCCCAGACTTGCTCTGTCGTGATTACATTCCCAAATTGCCAGTGGTCGGTGTCATCATGAGTGCGACGTGTCTGGGCAATGCCATACAAATGACCACAGTTCGTCGCTGAAACACTAACATAGTATCAGTAAATAAGTGCATGAAAGGCAAAAACAATAGAGACTGACGCGATCTGCATGAGGTCCATCCAATGCATGGCAAGGTTGAGCTCGACAAATTGATGGTCTGAGACTTGAATGTGTTGTGGGATGCCGCTGTAGTATGTTCGGAGCTGGTCCTTGACGCTGTAGTTGAACTGGTAGTTCGTATTGCATTCTTCATAGGCATTACGGGTCAGTGAGGCTATCATACGCATAGAGCACAACAAACGCACCTCGACACTTTAAGTGCACTGTCCATGCAGGCTTTGCGCCCTCGCTGTGAGTAAATATGACAATGCGGCGCTGTTCCTCTTTCTTCAGCAGTGTGCCATGCTGCCATGCGGTGCAGTCGTGGTTGATGCAAGTCTTGACTGGTGGATATAGTGTGCATCCCACTGTGAGTTGGATTAGTATGACAATCATGATGCGATGTGTGGGCACAGTACCAAGTCCTAGTTCATAGCCATGGAGCTTGAATGCAACTTCATCCTCAGCGCTTGTCTCAGCACTCATTGGCAGTTCCCAGACGAGATCCTTCACAATGTACCATAGATTATCGACTGCATCGGATGACATGTCGAGAGACATAGCGAGAAACTTCGTGACACTGTCTGGAAGCACATCGGGTGCATGGGAGACAGAGATGCGCTGAGGTTGGGGTTGAAGGATATCATCCTTAAGGAGGCTAGCACGTCGGATGAAACTGGCAAGGTCAACATAGGTAATGCAAGCGAGAACAGGGTGTTTTTTTATTGCATTGAACAGATGGCCGACATCCATGACAGGCACTGATGTCACCGAGCGCAGTGTGAGATCAGCCTGCAAGAGGTCACAAAGGGCGGGTCACGACTCACGACTCACAATGGACGGGTCACACTGGTATTGCAAATGTGACCAGATATAATTAGAACTCCGAATTAAGCTCCGCACGCGTCAGCCGCAGCCCCAGACTTTGGCCCCAGACTCCGCCCCAGACTTTGGCCCCAGACTGGCCCCAGACTGGCCATTTCCTGGATGTCCTCACATATTGAGTCCCGAGTTCCGGGACCCCCGAACCCCGAAACCCGAGACCCGGCAGTCCACAATTTCGGGGTTCAGGGGTTGGTAAAATGTCTATGGATATACAAAAGGTTGATTCAAACATGTTTGAAAGATGTCTTACCCGGAACACGGGACTCGATTTTTGAGATGAAAGACATCTTTCAAACATGTTTGAATCAACCTTTCATATATCCATAAACATTTTACCAACCCCTGAACCCTGAAATTGTGGACTGCCGGGTCTCAGGTCTCGGGGGTCCCAGAACTCGGGACTCAATATGTGAGACGACACAGATATCTTTCAAAAGTTTGTAAATCAATTTGTTTGTAAATCAAATTTATTGTAGATCAAATTTTATTGATCTCCCCAAATTTCCCAAGTCCCAAGTGCCGACCCCCGACCCCCGAGACCCGGCAGTCCACAATTTTGGGGTTCAGGAGTTGGTAAAATCTCAGGGTTCGGGGTTCGGCACTGTGAAAATTTGACATTTATATTTTTGCGAGTGTTGTGCTTCTGGTGTCTGTGTGTAGAAATAGGATATATTGCACACCAGGGTTCAGGTGTGGGGTTTTCCCACTTCAGTACTCAATTATTGGTCAATGCCACACATGGTCGATTCATGTTTTCGTGCTTACGGGTTTAGATTTCGGTGGTTGATGGTAGGTATATGCACTCATAGTGTGCATGTATCCTACGTGTTTGATTCGCTGGTGGCTACATCAGCTGTATGTCTTGATGAAACGTATTTAGGCTCACCCATATATGTACCCATCTATGTACAATTCCCCCACGTCAGCCCACCCATCTATGTAATATCCCCCACGTTGGCCCACCCGTCTATGTAATACATCCTATGTTGGCCCACCCGTCTATATAATTATACCCCACCTCGGCCCACCTGTCTATGTAATAAATATTTTATCACACCCTCGGCCCACCCGTCTAATTAATATCCCTTATGTCGGCCCACCTGTATATGTGATATTCCACCACCTCGGCCCACCTGTCTATGTAATAAATATTTTATTGCACCCTCGGCCCACCCGTATATGTGATACTCCCCACGTCAGCCCACCTGTATATGTAATATGCCCCACATCAGCCCACCCGTTTATGTAATATTCCCCTACCCCAGCCCACCCGTATATGTAATACACCCCTGTTGGCCCACCCATCTATATAACAATATGTGCCTTACATCTCTCTTCAGCCCAGCTGTCTATAATATCCTACTCTACATATTACCCAGATGGGCCCACCCATCTCCATGAATGATCATATTCCCCCGGCCCATCCGTCAACATCAAGGATATATATATCATTGGCATACATGGGCCCACCCGTCTCCATCGGAAATAATATGTTACCCGGCCCATCCGTCGTCATCGAGGATATACACAACATGGGCCCATGGTCCGCTGGCCCGTCTGATACAGGATATTATGTAGGTCGGGTGGCCCGTATAATATGGAATTTGTCACTGAAGGGGCTCTTCCTTTCTCTCATCCTCGATCTTAACAAGATATCCCTTGCTTTATAACAAGGAGCATTTCTATAGGCAGTCTCTTTGGGACGAACATCTCACTCGCACTCTGAGTCTTAAGGTAACACTTTTGTAGCGCCCACATAGAATCAACTCTTTACAACGTGAAGCGCGCGATCATAATAATAATAAGAATTAAAGGTGTTTATAGATGCCTGATCAATAACGGAACAGGTTGACGATAAATGCGCATAATGCGCCGATGGTTGCGATGCAATATGAGAAACAGGAGAAACAGTACTTTGCGCGAATGTGGAAAATGATGTGGGATGCTCCTTAAGAGCGATAATTGGGCGCTTGAAGCGCGCACACTTTGCGGCGCTTCAGGAAGCATGCGAGAATGATTGAGACTAGACGAAGGAAAATACTGGTATTGGAGTGTATGCGGGGTATTGTCTCCCCGCAGATAATGCAGATCATCGATGATTAAAAACCCTTTTCTTCCTTGACCTTTGACGGGTGTTCCTGACATGGGAGACCGCTGGTGCAGCGCTCGCAGCGCTTTACCCAAGTAAGCGTCGGAATACGCAGTTCTTTGCGCATATTAGGGTCGGTAACCAGGATATCTTGCTCCCCATCAGGGAGATCAAACATACGACAGGTCGTTAGCTTAAAGAATGGGCATCCGAGAAGGATCTCGAAGCTCGCGCGAGGTATGACTTGTACTTGAAAGTACAGCAGTCCTCCTCTGAAATCGAGCGGTACATTTTCGATGACGCCGAGTGTTGCGTCCTTGTTAGTGTTAACCGATTCCATGTTTAAGCGATGGTCCGACTGCAGACCAATGCCGAGTGATTTCCATACTGCGGCCGGCATTACGACTACCTCAGCGCCTTGATCTAGGATGCAGGTGACTACCCGCCCTCTGATCGTAGTTGCATGAATGCAGCGCAATGGTGCAAAGTGGTCTGCGACTACTCGGCCGTCGTCGCTTTGCAAGCACTTAGCGTCGTAGTCGCGTATTCACTCATCTGAAACCGGGTGTCCTATTAGCTCATTGACCGATACTGTGCCGACCGTGACGTGCTTGGTGGTGGTAAGGTCACAGAATTGTTTGTGGACGTCGGGCGATATCGCAAATAATTCCCTTGTCGAAATGCTGATGCTGCTATCCAGGAGGCGCTCAAGGATGTGCTTGTCAGCGTCTTTGTCTTCCAGTCCATGCAAGTACCAATATGATGCCATTTTCGTTGCTGTGGGTGCCGATGATGAGGGTGTTGAGTCTGCGAGGTCAGTATGTGTTAAACTGGGTGAGAATGAAGATGAAGTTGCGGGAGCGGCGGTCGCTTTCCGCGCATCCTTTGTTTGGGGTGCAGTCATCATAGGTGCAGTTATCGTTTTTACAACTTCTGGCACCTTGCCCTTGCTTGACGAAGCTTGGATGGCAGGAGAGACAATCTCCTCCGCTTCAGTAGCTTGCCTAGACGTCGGTGCTGGCTTCGCGCAATTTTCACTGATGAGTTCTACGCCATCAAACCGGACGTTCTTTCCCTTACCTTCGCCTTTCGCAGTACCTTGCTTGGTATCGCGTCTGGTGGTTGCTAGTGCAAGCGCTTGCGCTGCGCGTAACACGTCTACTTCCTCCTCATCTATGTCAGACTCAGGATCCGCGACAGTGTGAATAAACGCGGACAGGTCGACATCTAGTACGACATCGACTTCAGATGATGCGCGGACATATAGCGCCGCGGTTACACTTGCGCTAGGGAGTGCCTCGTTCGCCTGCTTGTTAGTATGGTACCTATCAAGGCGATCTTTCAAGGTACCATCACTTGCACAACCAGGGATCCAATCTCTGCTTGTCAACACGAGCTTCATAGAAGTCTCGTGCACCTTACACTTGCTGGCGCTGATATATGCGTCCTTTTCCTGGCAGCAGCTCAAGGAATGGTCGTTCTTTCCACAGAACATGCAACCATGCGGCGGTGAATTGCCGGGACATCTCGCTTGATACTCCTGTTTTAAAACTGTACCTTGCGCCGGTTGCTGCAGCACTCGAGCCATCGTCACGGCTGCGCTTGGGTATGGTGTTAATACCAGCGTACCAATGGTTTCTGGGGCCGATGCTCCCATTCCTGGAATCAAGAATTTGGTGACCGCGTTGTAGCACTGGAGCTCGCGCTGAGCACATATTCTCTTATTTCTCGATACACGTCCAATGCCTGTTATGCACTAATGTAACCCAACGCTAACCCGCACAACCCGACGCAAACCCGACGCTTTGACTAGTGGACCCGACGTTTCGGCCGCATCAGACCTGATATTTTCCCGTGCACTTGTCCTATCCATGTCCCATCCCGTCTTGCTAGCCCCACTAGGTGTGTAGTTGATTATTTCACACATTACTCATGTCGTAGCAAGTGCTATTACATGTTTTCCCATCATCCGCAGCACCTCATGTTTATTTACATGTACTTCGGACCCGAAATCATCGGCTGCTACTTTCGCCTACGGCCTTCCGGATTTCTACGTACTTATATATATATTGGACTGACTACGAGTATTTTCATTATCCAAGTAGTAGGGAGCCGTTCCCCGATACTTAGTGGTCAAACCCGATATTTCGTAGTTCTTAGTTGACATTGCAAATATTACCGCTCTTTCTATCCGAAATACCCGCAGTTATCATATATCTGCATACCGCTCGCTTTCCCAACGTTTGCTATTGCCCTTCCCGCTAACCCGCTAACCTGAAACCTGAAAACATCGGACCCGACGCTTTGGCATCAGACATCATAGATATACCTTCGGACTTTGTTTCCCACGCTCGGACTTTTGACCGTTTTATCATTTCACTAACTACAGACCAATCCAATAGCTAACCCCTCGGGTCGAACGCACTTGTCTTGCAAGTATAAGCAGACTAGGCTGTGCACGACCACAACATTTTTATATTGCTGGCTACTTACCTTGTGTAGTGCCCAGCAATTGTTGTATCTCTACAGCGTCTACATCTGCGAAAGGATAAGGATCGCGCAGGTGATGATCCAGGAACTTGATCATTAAGCGCATGCAAATAAGTGCTTGGATGTTGCTGGGAAAACCTTGTAACCACATGCGATTCCTCTCGGACTTCCCTATGTGATCTTTCGCGATTAGCGAGTCAGCAATTTCCCGGAAGGCGCGACAATAATTGCCAAGCTCCATGAGCAAAGGCATCAGCAACCTCGCGTATTTGTGCGTTATGGCTTGGAGGTCGGATACTGCATATCGCTTTTCATTTTCGCACCCGGGGTACATTTCCATTACCTCTTTAATGAATGCATCATAGTTGCTTAGCTTTGCTTCGGGCATACTGGCCCAAAGCACGCACTCGCTATTTGGCAAGTAGCAGATGATACCCTTGATGTGATTGCCCCCTAGTAGGTTCGCGTCATCGGCACATGCTTCATAATCCTTGATGAAGGTGAGGAGGTTCTCTGCAGCGCCATCAAATTTTGGTGCTTTGTCCGAGCCGCGGACCGGCATTCTAACGGTTGTTGACATCTTTACTGGTTGGGGAGTGTTGATAATAGGCACAAGTTGTGTGGTTCTTATCGGAGCTGTTTGCGGGGCTGGGGGAATATATATAGCGGTGCGGTTCCAAATTGAGTTTGGTGTGATAAGGGATTCTGTTTCCTCTTTCTTAATAGCTGACACTTCAATTGATAAGGGCACGCGTGACCGTGATAAGGGTCCTTCTTTGATGGTTGCGCTAGAAACGGTTAGTGGGGTAAGCAGAGAGAGAGGAATAAAATTAGGGTCTGATGGATTCCTTGGCGTTTCTACAAATGCACCCAGCGGTAAGTTGCGGGGGTTGTCATGTGACTCAAAGTCATCTGAGGATTCGCCGTGTACTGATTCTTTGGGGGACGGCATGACTGGCGATGCGGGCGTGAACAGATTCGGCGAAAATAGAGATAGATCTGGGCGCATGGGCTCTGAGAAGTTCCGAGGGCGATTGCGCTTAACCGGAGTCAAAATTTCCTGAATGGTTGATAAGCGAGAAGAGGCAACCGCTCTTCTAAATTCTTCTAAGGCTTTGTTTCTTGCTACACGGTCTTTGGTAGGCCTGAGTACCCTACCGGCTTTCTCAGATGATCCCCTCACGGTGGGCTCCAGTTGTAGGTGAGGAATGTAGAATGGTAGAAAGTGGGTGGTGTGAGATATACTCAGATGGTCCTCTGTGCGCGAATCTAATGTCAGCCCAAGGGGATTGCTACTGAGAAGGTTCCTCTATATGTAATAGTGGAGGGAAACACTGAACTGGGCTGTCGGATGAGCCTGGTGAGGCGTGCGACAATGAGCGAAGCAGTCATATCCTGTATTGCGGACCTACATCCGACAATATTCCCACGCCTCATCCGGACCTCCGGACCCCCTGTCCATGTCCTTTATCTGTCCAGATGCCTGTACACCTGGATCCCTGTACCTTTGCATATCCAGACATCCGGATCCGAAACCCGGACACTCAAATCTGATATCCACTTGCCAGGATCTCCGGATCCGACCTATGCTTCATATCCGAACCCAAACCTTAAATCAGCGCTCATCCCCTTATGGTAATCACCTGTTTCCGGACCCAGACCAATCACCCCCTCATATCCAAACATCTCCGGACATCCGGATCCGACCCGCGTCTATCTTCCGTGCCTTTTCCCTTTGTATGCTCCTTCTCAAGTTAGTCTATACTCATTTTCCGTACCTCATTTCATTTCCGCCTTTATTTTCCTATGTTCTCATTTCCGTCTTCATTTACTATTTTCCGATAGACTAGTGTTTGACTTTTCTACATCCTCTGTCCACAGCCTCGCATAACTTCAGACTGCGCTGACTGATTCTCCGTTATGTCCTCCATAGTATATAAACCCTGTAGAAACTCCTGTATTTCCTTAGTCTGAATATTACACATATTAGTCCTCGCACTAGACCTCACACTAAGTCCTCATACTAGTTCTAGTCCTCTGACTTAGTCAATATCCATCTCAGGCCTAGGGAGGAATTCCCTAGGCCGGAGCTCTGCTCCTCTGCTCCTCTGCTCCTCTGCTCCTCTGCTCCTCTGCTCCTCTGCTCCTCTGCTCCTCTGATCCTCTGATCCTCCGATCCTACACTCCTCCGAGTTTCCGGAAGTTCCTCTGGAACTTTCCCGCGGTCCTCCGGACCTATTCTGCTTCGGACTTTGTCCCTGCAGCCTTTCCTCTGTATCCATTCTACTCAGGATTCATCCTGAGTAGCCATTACACATATCTGTACCAGGACGAAACCTCATAGTAATTTCTGGAAGTTTCCCGCACCCCTCCGGAAGTTTCTCACACTCATCCGGATCCGGATAGTCCTTCCGGACTTTCCCGCGCTCCTTCGGAAGTCCTATGGACTTCCTCCGGATGTCATCTGCAATTAAGGGCACATACTCGGGTAAGGGGCACAGCACACGAGCTGAAGCCAAGCCCTTCGGAACCAGTCCTACCCTTTGTGCATGGTCTTAACAGAAGCACTACAGAGCGACAAGTGCAATGGCACGCGCTGAGTGAGAGTGAAGTGCATGTGCAGGTGGTGGAGCGCAGCGACTCTTAAGTGAGTCCAGGAACAGGTAAGACAGTTCTCATATACAATAATATGAAGATTGGCGCTTGGGTGCGTTCAAGCGCTTTACTGTCGGTCGGCAGATATGACGAAGATTTTAGACTTAGAGTCCAACATTATGTGGGAAGAAGATGATGATCATTATACATAGAGGCATGAGTATATATATTCTAAGTAGTATTAAGCGCTGTCAAGTGCTAAAGCGAGCCGGAAAGTGAAGCAAGTATGTGAAGATATGTAATAAGGGTCCGTGATGAAACATACGGAATATGTGCGCAAGCGCCAGAGATATGTCAGAATACATGAGAATAAGATAGGAATATGCACCGATGAACCGAGCGGACATGGAATGGATGGATGGAGGACAAGCAACAGAACCGAAGATGTGTGCGCATATATGCGCGACTGAAGCACCTGCGCGTGAGCAGCCGACGAAGCGCGAAGTGTACTGAATGAGATATGAGTCGTGCTGTGTTTGGAAGGTGATTAGAGTGTTGGAGAATTAGCCCTCTATGAGGCCACAGAGATGTCAGTCTCTACATCACATCGCATTGGCACAAGTTCTTGCGCTCCTTCCATTCTCAGTTACCCTTACTAGTTTCTAAGTTTCCCCACACACTTTTACTTAGAGGAATCATTCTCAGTAGCAATCCCCTTGGGCCGAATCTATACTCGCATCCAGAGGTCTATTTGAGTTTTACCCCACTTCACCCTTTCTCCCCCTTTCACCCCTTCTCATTTAGCTATCATTCCTCACACACAGCACATTCCTCAACAGCAAACTTGACCCTAATGAGGTCATCTTCATGCAACTACCCCCCAGAATCCACATCAATTTTAAATTCAGAAACCCTGTTGCATGCCTCCATGTTGCGCTTTATGGCTCCAAGCAGGGAGCTCTTAAATGGTACCAACAATTATGTCATCTCCTCAAAGACTTAGGACTAACATGCGCAGAATCAGATTGGGGTATATTCTACAAACACATCAGCCCTGATATTCTCATCCTTGCTGCCCACGTCAATGACTGCACAGTCACCGGCAGCAATTGTGCACTTATCGCTAAGTTCAAGCAGCAAGTAGCTGCACACTACAAACTCATGGATCTGGGACCAGTCACATCTCTCCTTGGAATGAAGGTCATGCACGACCATGTTGCATGGACTATTTTGTTCTCACATGAGATCTACATCGAAGCCATCCTAGCTAAGTACAATTTCGCTGACTTTAAGCCCTGCTCCATTCCCATGGACCCAAACATATCATTATCCCTCTTGCAATCTCCAAAAACCTTGTGAAAGCAGAACATCCCATATCACGAAGCTGTAGGCTCACTAATGCACCTAGCTGTTGGTATGCGACCTGACATCACATTCACCATATCAACCATTGTGCAATTTGGTGTCAATCCAGGAATGGCACATTTGGATGCTGTGAAGTGCATCTATCACTACCTGGTCGGCATGAAGAAACTTGCACTCACCTTTGGCAGCTGCAAACAAGGACTGGAGGGATTTAGTATCAACACCAATGTCATGTCACAGGAGCATAGACACACAGTGTCTGGCTATGTGTTCTTGTTAGATGGCGGAGCAGTGTCTTGGGGGTTGAAGAGGCAAGAGCTCATGACTCTTTCAATAATGGAGGCCAAATACATCGCAGTGATGCATGCCACAAAGGAAGCAATCTGGCTTTGACATTTTGTTAGTGAAGTTTTTCACCCACTCACCCAGCCTACTGTCCTCCATTGTGACAATAAATCTGCTATTGCCCTCGCTCAGTCCGGAGTGTTTCATGCTCGGATGAAACATATCGACATGTGTTACCATTTTATTTGTTTTTCTGTTGTCAAAGGTTCCATCTCACTTGTTTATTGCCCTACAGACAGTATGATTGTGGACATACTTACAAAACCTCTTCCCAGCTTGAAAGTCAAGCACTTTGCCTCCACCCTTGGACTATACTTGGTTTGAGGGGGAGTGTTGGATATTAAACCCTTTGCTATGGTCACTTGGTCCTGCTCTATTATCTAAGTACCTACAAATATTGTTTGTTCTCGCACCTCATAGCTTCCCTCAGTTGACTTCGCACATCTGCTGAGGTTAGTACTATCTTCATACATATGTTATGTATCTAACTGAAAACACCTGTAGCTGAGCTGCTATAGGTATATACTAATATATATATAGTTGACTTCATATGTCCACTGAGCTGAGCTGCTACACACCATATGCCTTAGAGATCACGGACATGACTCTGATGATGAGATCTATCATATTACTACTATCTCACTCTCTACTCTTCATCATACTCAACAATGCCAGTGCCTAACCAGAGATGCTGTTAAGAATGTGCTCAAAGGGTCAGATCTGAAGGACTTGGCTTCAGCTCATGTGCTGTGCCCCTTACTTGAGTACGTGCCCTTAACTTCTGAGGGCCATAGGACGAAGTCCGGAGGTCCGGAGTCCAATGTGTGGGAATTCTGGCGGACATTCAGAAACAAAAGGAAAGACTAACCCGGACGAAGTCTGGACTAGAAAGAAACAGCAGAAGACTACCAAAGATAGAGGCAGAGATGTTAAGTCAAGAATCAATCCTAAGACTATTGGAGAACAACAAGAGGAGAAACTCAAGTTGGACAGAGGCAGGAATGAGCAGAATCATGATATTCAAACTGAGGATGTACAGAGAATTTACAGGGTTTATATACTACAGGAAACATAATGGAAGATCAGTCAGTGCAGTGCAAGGCTATGTATGAAGCATATGAAAAGCTTATCAATAGGATAACAGAACATAATAAAATGAAGTCGGAAATGAAACAAGGTCCAGATAAATGAATACAGTTGGATATGTAAATAACCAGAGGACCAGAAAAGGGGACATACGGGAGGGGAAAGAAGTGGAACAAAGAAGCAGGTCAGATCCAGACATCTGAAGATGAGTGCATGATCAGTCTAGGTCCAGAACACAGGATATGACAGATGTTGCAAAAGCACCTGCAATTAGACATGGCCATCCATGCAAGCTTATCTATATGGACTGCCAGTACCTCATCCAACTAGCATATCATAAACTCACTCTCTTCTTGGATAAGTACAATCATCATCTTGCCAAGTACCATCACCTTCCTGCATTACTTGCAACCATTCAATGCACTCTGACATGTGCAGGACTGAATGTCAAGCATATTCAGAAACTTACATCTGAAAGGAATTCCCTTAAGCATGCAGCATTCATCTGTCACATTAGTCAATATCCAGCACACTATTTGATCACTTTCAATGAAGTTTCAAAGCACAATAGGACATATGCACACATGTGGGGTTAGGCTTGTTATGGTGAGCATGTGGAGAAGCACTACTCATTTGTTTGGAAGTAGTAATTCTCAGTGCTTGGGGCTATGGCATTGGACGAGGGTTTTATTGAAACACAAGTTATTGAAGGGAGCTTCACATGTGAACTTTTTTTTACAGTTTTTGCATGATGATTTGGTGACTTGTGACCTACTCCAAGTCATAGCAAGCTAAATGTGCTTCAAGCTTCCCTGAACAAACCCTTATATTGCACCTCTCAGTGTCATTGACCTCAATAATGCTACTATTCACCACTCCCAAGAAGTGGTTGACCTGATTGAGGGTTATAGTATGTGGTTTCAATCTTTATGTGGCTCTTTTGGTACTAGGCTCAGGCCAACTCATTTGAAGGGTGTTGTGTTGAGTATCTCCCACCTTATTCTCCTGACTTCAACCCTATTGAGCAAGCATGGTCAGTGATTAGAAACCACCTTCATTGCAATGGATTGTCTCATGGATCTAAGGCGGAGCAGTACTATGAATTGTACAAGACATGCAAGGTAATCACTCCCAAGATGACTTGGGTTTTTTTTTCATCATTCTGGTTATATTTGAACATGCATCAGACAATGTAATACATACAAGTGAGCAATTGAATATCAATGAGACTCCTTCCAATGTTCCTCAGCATCTCATACTGCTGCAAGTTCTCCAATTGACAACACACACTCCATATACAGTTGATCATCTGATATCAAGCAAAGGAGATGCGGACCTGTAATTTGATGGCTATTGAGTTTATCATGGACTGAGAGTGGAAGATTGTAAGAATCACAGAAGGCTTGAAGGCTGAGATGAGGTAGGACTTGAGCTGGTTGAGAAGGCTGCTGGATAGTAGAAAAAACATCAGGCTGAGGTGCTGGAGTTTGGCGGGCTGTACTGAGGAGCTCTGCAAGGCCAGAAAAGTTGACAGTGGTATTTGATGACTGTTGTGTGCGAGGAATGATAGCTAGATGGGAAGGGGAGAAAGGGGGAGAAAGGGTGAAGTGGGGTAAAACTCAAATAGACCTCTAGATGCGAGTATAGATTCGGCCCAAGGGGATTGCTACTGAGAATGATTCCTCTAAGTAAAAGTGTGTGGGGAAACTTAGAAACTAGTAAGGGTAACTGAGAATAGAGGAAACGCAAAAGCCGATGCCAAAGCAATGTGAGCGCGAGCGAGCCACCAAAAGTACGATGTGATATGAGTGTGGATGAAGTGCCAATAAAATGCAATGCAGTGTGAGCACGAGCAGTCGCAATATGACAAAATGCGAAAGTGTGCGGTTAAGCTGAAGGGTGAATGTGAAAGGAGAACCATAAATGCAAGGGCAGGGCTAAGCAATGATAAGTGCTGAGAGCATTAGATGATATAAACACATGAATATACGACAATTGCCACTGATAGAGATGCGTGCTAGAGTGTGCTGAAGATTTTGGATCCTTAGTCCAAGACTTAGTTGCATGCAAACGGGTGATAAATTTGATGGGAGAGAGAAGTTACATGAAAATTCTAAGTATTGGATATATGTATGCGCGCCTAAGCAATATTCAGAACTGAGTAGATAGTGAGAAGTATGTAAGTAGGGTCCATGACACATCTAATGAGAATATAAACAAAATAGCTTGGGAAATATTGTCAGTCTAGTATGAATTGAGTAATATACGCACCAATGAACTAGCAGAGGATATGGATTGGATGGGCGGAGGACATACAACAGATCCGAAGAGAAGCCAACACTAGCCAAAGCGCGCGCATGAGCCACGGCCATCAGCTGATGATGGAATGCTCGTGCGTCATACCGATGGTAGCGCGCTGTATAAGGATCTGAGGAATAACACAAGAATGGCCTATATGAGGCCATAAAGACCATAGGTCTTACACCATTTAGTGTTTTATTTCTTCATCATTTAGCCAATGCAAGAATGTCATTGTCTTCAGAGGAGCTAGATCCCCTCTGTGTGAGTGGGTCAAACATTTTGCTATTTGGAAGATGGTTGATGTTGACTCTATTGATTTTTGCTTGCTTCAAAAGGCAATGTTAGTATCAGTGAAAATCTGCAAAAAAAAATCAATAACTATTGCTGATGCCCAATGGCATAAATGCTGGAAGGTAAGATGAAATGGGCAAGCTTTATCTTTGCAGTGGTAGTGGTCTTATAGATTATTAATGATCTTATCCTCTTCTTGCTCCTCAACAGTTGGTTCACAGACTTGGGATTGCTATCATTTATTTGTGTCAGTCATAATCACCAAAATACATAGCATATATCTACCTTTTTTGCCTTTTTTCATGGCTGCATGTCATCATCTGAATCCAGTGCATTCAGTGATTGCTAATCATTATCAGTGGACTGTAGTTGTTATTTAAGATACTACACACTCATTTCTGTGGCCTCTGTGGCTCTGCCTCATCATTTGATTCATTAGCATCTAGTGAGTTGCTGTTTGATGTTTCCCGAATGGTGACCTGCAGCATGTGAGCTATTATCACCAATGTACAAGGAGCAGTGTCTTACCTTGTGTTTGATAAGAACTAATGTACCCTCAGCACTCTTCTCCCCTTGTACTTGCTCAACCATCTCTGCATAATCTTCTTCTCTTTTGAGTGTGATATCCTTTGTGTAGGATTTTGGAATTGAGCAGGTAACAGTAGGTGAGTCAATATCTAAGTCAAACATTTGGCCTAAGTTATACAGCTGTGAGTGTTCCAAGAGATCATGTCATTTCAGTATATGTTATGGTCAACGCACACCCCCATTTATTCTCCTATCACCAGACTATGGTCTATGTCAGCTAAGACTGTACGGATACCAATTACTTTCCAGTACATTGTTCACTATATCACTAAGGTCTCTTATCGTTCTAGCAACCATTACTGCCCCCATGCACAGCCCTTATCTTGACTTCATTCATCTCACTGACTGCTTCTATCTTGATATGTACATCCCTACCATTTCCAGCCTGGTCTGTGCGCACCATATGGACTATTTGAGCACAGTAGCTACCACCTGTATTCCTCACTTTAATCTACTGGGTTTTACCTGGAACATCTGCTCTACTAAGGGATCTACCTTGGTAGTCTGAAACCACTATTCTAAGGCAGTCAGCATCACTGTCCTTAGTTTGAAACACGAACCTATATTCATAGGAAGAACTATGCTCTGCTATCAAAGACCATTCGGTCTTAGCAAAGAAGAACAACCCCAGTCGTAACAAAAGATTAAAGTCTTCCCTACAACCTTGCTATCCAGCAAGGACCCACCCCTGACCAACAGAAACTGACCACCAGGATCAGGCGAGAAAAGAGCAGATAGAACAACCTGACGACCCTTACCCCATTACTCAACACGTTGAACCTCAGTGCCATACCACCCCTACCACTGCTGAACCCTGCCATGTCCGCAGATAAGATCACTGAAATTAGGGTCGGGTTCCTGTCTGACTTTGATGGGAATCATGATGAATCAGACACCTACTTGATGTCCTGTATCGCCTATATAGACATCAATGAAAAGATCTACAAAACCAACAAAATAAAGATTATCTTCGTCCTCTCATTCATGAACAAGGGGAATGCGCGACTCTGGAAAGAAGACTTCTACAGACATGTGCAAGACCAGAACAGAAAAGACTCTGCCGGTCTGATCATAGGGTACAGAGATTGGACTACTTTCATAAAAAAGTTCAAAGAAGCCTTCAGACCGATCAACCTGGCGGGAACCGCTGTGTGTGAGGAATGATAGCTAGATGAGAAGGGGTGAAAGGGGGAGAAAGGGTGAAGTGGGGTAAAACTCAAATAGACCTCTGGACGCGAGTATAGATTCGGCCCAAGGGGATTGCTACTGAGAATGATTCCTCTAAGTAAAAATATGGAGGGGAAACTTTGAACTGGTAAGAGTAACTGAAAATGGAAGAGCGCGCGACGTTGCGCTTGAAGTGATGCGAGCGCGAGCGAGCCGCCGAAGGTGCGATACAATGTGCGACCAAACAGCCGAAAGTTTGACAGAGCGCGGAGACGCGGAGAAAAGCCAACGGTTTATATGAATGCACGACTAGCAGATATGCAAAGGAGATGTGATGTGACGATAGTGAGGGAAGAGAGCTCTGACTATAGATGCGATGAGTGATGTGTGGACGATAGTGCGACTGTTAATACAGCACGTGACGTAGTCGGCCGAAGGTTTCTGACTTAGAGTCTGAGTGATGCATGCAAACGGATGATAATTTCGATAGTGGGAAAAGAAGATACATGAAAAATCCTAAGTCTAAGGTATATATGATAGCGTGCGTAGCGCTGTTCAGAACCGAGAAGATAACAGTAATACGTATTAAGGGTCTATAACGCAAGTAACGAGACATACGCGATATCACCTTTGGAAATATAATCAGTCTAACGCAAATGAGATAAAATACGCACCAATGGACCAGCGGAGGACATGGATAGGACGGAGGAAGGTCACACGACGGAACCGACGAAAAGCGGATGCGAACCGAAGCGCGCGCATGAGCCGCGGCCGTTGGCCGACAATAGGAAGGATGCGTGCTGTGGTAGTGATAGCGCGTGCTGCGCTAGGACCTGAGGGACACTGCAAAAATAGCCTCTACGAGGCTACAAGGACTACAAGTCCTACACCGCCATGGTGTCATATCCCGTGTTCCAGACCCAGACCAATCACACACATCATTTCCGGACTTCCGGATCCGGCCGACTTCTATCTATCATCCGGATCTGAACCGCATCTATCTTCCGTGCCTTATCCCTTTGTACGTTCCTTGTCCAGTTAGACTATACTCATTTTCCGTACCTCGTTTCATTTCCGCCTTTATTTTCCTATGTCTTCATCTCCGTCTTCATTTACTATTTTCTGATAGACTAGTTGTTACGCTGACCGTCGGTCGGCGTGTGCGAACTTGGATAGGTCTTCTTAGCGACGGTTCGAGTGAACCTATGAAGCTAAGGGTGGTTCTCGGCTTGACGGAACGTCAAGGGTT